CATCGAAAAAGCTAACAGTTGCAGAGTTCTTTGCTGGGGAAGGACAACAAAACAGTTTTCGGAAAACACCCGATAGAACGCCCATTCAAATATCAGTAGTGTGTCAATACAAAATCAGAAATATCCGCACTGCTCTCGATATTGAATTAATGTCGAATATTTCAGATGAGCAAGAAGTGTTAATTACACCATTTGCAACATTTAACGTTACTAATGTGAAACGCCATGATCCAGCAACTAATCCATCCGTTTTAGTTGAAACAGAGTTAGAAGAATATGAGTCACTTTGTGAACCTACTTACTTGTGCGAATTGATTCGGTACCAGCATAAACGATATTCTCGGATTGAACGGTTAATGAATCCAGCAAAATCTTTTCCAATCGAACAAAGCTACATTAATTTAGCTATACTAGAAATTAAAGAACAACAAAAAAAAGAAAAGAAGCTCTGTGACGCTCAGCAAAGGGATGCGATCATCGGTACCTTTGAAGAGATACATGAAGCGAAAGCTCTAGTAGATGTCAAGGACATTTTTGAAACTTGCAAGAATCAAACGAAGAAGGTACTCGTGCTTGGACGGGCTGGAATCGGCAAAACAACATTTTGTCGATATGTTGCTTATCGATGGGCAAATGGCACACTTTGGCCACAATATAAGCTGATTTTCTTGATTCCACTACGGCGTTTAACTGAAAATCGTTATCCTCCATTGTCATCCGGCATGAGCTATTCTCCAATTGATCTCGTTGAAAAGGAATGTTTCCATCATGCTCTTTCTGACAAAGATAAAATATATTTGATAGAACAGTTTGACAAAAGTCAAGTTCTATGGCTTTTGGATGGCTATGATGAAATTGTACAAAATGTACCAGCACATCTGCAATATTTATTCGAGCAGTTACTTAACACTCCACACCACATCTTGACCTCTCGTCCATACTCAAACAAGTTATCATATGATGTGGTAATGGAAATTACAGGTTTTACGGATGATAATATAGATGAGTATGTGAAGCAGTTCTTCGATCAAATTACAGGTGAATCCGATGATGCACCATCCACAGGACAAAACCTATTGGACTTCTTAAAATTGAGCACAAACATTTGGGGGATTGCACATATTCCAGTGAATCTTGAACTGATTTGTAGTCTTTGGGCTGACACAGATTGGTCCATAAGTAGAGAACTCACAATGACACAGCTATATGATAGCATTACAGAATGGCTATGTCGAAGATATTTGGAGAAACAACGAAACATTGAAACAAATCTAATGACTAAAGAGGATGTTTATAAAAGTTGCCACAAAGAACTGGCATTCTTAGAAAGCATGGCTTTTAACGGCATGAAAACTAACACCATAATTCTACGGCCGCCATTGCTAAAAAAAGCATTAAAGGATACTGAGTGCTCGTTAAGGGATCACCCACACTTACTCAATATAGGCATTCTAAAATCATTCAACCATCAGGCTATTGGCACTCACATCGAAACGGACAAAGACCATTATTTTGTTCATCTGAGTTTCCAGGAACATTTCGCTGCACGATATTTGGTTGCCGCTCTCGAGGATCCTCCATGCCAAGAAGCAGTCGAGTTTCTCAAATGCAACAAGTACAATCAACGTTTTGGACAAGTATTTACTTTTGTATCGGGTCTTCTGACCGAGAGTAACTCTGAATCATACATAAGAACATTCTGGGCCACAATACTAAGAGACCCGTTGGATCTAGTTGGTCTAAGACACATACAACTAGTTATTGCTTGTGTTGAGGAGACTAGTGGTAACTCAAATCTTCCTGGTCGCGCCGAGTTGATCCTTCCGATAATAAAGTGGTTAAAATATGCTGTGCTTGCCGAATCCGATGTAATAATTCAACAGCTGACAGACTCATTGAGAAGAAGCGCTTCATTAACACGTGAGCCAGCAGTAATAGACACACTGATTCAGCTGCTTCAAACCCAACAAACAAAAGTGAAAACGAAACTATGCTCTTTGATCTCAAACTTACCATTTACAAAAACCCATCCTAAGCTCATTCATTCACTGCTCGTTGCACTTCGTGATGACAGTGCAGATATGAGATCTTCTGCATGTCAAGCTCTCGGGAAAACGGGAGACAAAGCAGGAACTGCTGAAGTGATTAGAGCACTACTCAATGTACTTAGTGATGAGAATGAGAAAGTTAGATCTTCTGCATGCAAAGCTCTCCGGAGAATGGGAGACAAAGCAGCAACTTCTGAGGTGATTAGAGGACTACTCATTGCACTTGGTCATGAGAAGTATTATGTCAGATGTTCCGCATGTGAAGTTCTCGGTAAAATGGGAGACAAAGCAGCAACTTCAGAAGTGCTTAGAGCACTAATCAATGCACTTAGTGATAAGAATGCGAATGTTAGATATTCTGCATGTGATGCCCTCGGTAAAATGAATGAAAAAACAGCAACTTCTGAAGTGATTAGAGCACTACTCAATGCACTTGATGATGAGAATCAGGGTGTTAGATGGCGCGCATGTGAAGTTCTCGGGAAAATGGGTGGCAAAGCAGGAACTTCTGAAGTCATTAGAGCAGTACTCAATGAACTTAGTCATGAGAATGCGAATGTCAGATGGCGCGCATGTGAAGTTCTCGGAAAAATGGGTGACAAAGCAGCAACTTCTGAAGTGATTAGAGCACTACTCAATGCACTTAGTGATGAGAATGCGAATGTCAGATCTTCTGCATGTGAAGTGCTCGGGAATATGTGTGACAAAGCAGCAACTTCTGAAGTGATTAGAGCAATACTCAATGCACTTAGTGATGAGAATGCGAATGTCAGATGGCGCGCATGTGAAGCTCTCGGGAAAATGGGTGACAAAGCAGGAACTTCTGAAGTGATTAGAGCAATACTCAATGCACTTAGTGATGAGAATGCGAATGTCAGATGGCGCGCATGTGAAGTTCTCGGAAAAATGGGTGACAAAGCAGGAACTTCTGAAGTGATTAGAGCACTGGTCATTGCACTTAGCGATGAGAAGTACTGTATCAGATCTTCCGCATGTGAAGTTCTGGGGAAAATGAGAGACAGAGAGGCAACTGCTGAAGTGATTAGAGCACTACTCAATGCACTTAGTGATGAGAATGAGAAAGTTAGATCTTCTGCATGCAAAGCTCTCCGGAGAATGGGAGACAAAGCAGCAACTTCTGAGGTGATTAGAGGACTACTCAATGCACTTGGTGATGAGAATGAGAATGTCAGATGGCGCGCGTGTGAAGTTCTCGGGCAGATGGGTGACAAAGCAGCAACTTCAGAAGTGCTTAGAGCACTACTCAATGCACTTGGTGATAAGAATGCGAATGTTAGATATTCTGCATGTGATGCCCTCGGTAAAATGAATCAAAAAACAGCAACTTCTGAAGTGATTAGAGCACTACTCAATGCACTTAGTGATGAGAATGCGAATGTCAGATGGCGCGCATGTGAAGTTCTCGGGAAAATGGGTGACAAAGCAGGAACTTCTGAAGTCATTAGAGCACTACTCAATGAACTTAGTCATGAGAATGCGAATGTCAGATGGCGCGCATGTGAAGTTCTCGGGAAAATGGGTGACAAAGCAGCAACTTCTGAAGTGATTAGAGCACTACTCAATGCACTTAGTGATGAGAATGCGGATGTCAGATGGCGCGCATGTGAAGCTCTCGGGAAAATGGGTGACAAAGCCGCAACTTCTGAAGTGATTAGAGCACTGCTCATTGCACTTAGCGATGAGAAGCACTGTATCAGATCTTCCGCATGTGAAGTTCTGGGGCAAATGAGAGACAGAGAGGCAACTGCTGAAGGGATTAGAACACTACTCAATGCACTTGGTGATGAGAATGAGGATGTCAGATGGCGCGCGTGTGAAGTTCTCGGGCAGATGGGTGACAAAGCAGCAACTTCAGAAGTGCTTAGAGCACTAATCAATGCACTTGGTGATAAGAATGCGAATGTCAGATATTCTGCATGTAATGCTCTCGGTAGAATGGATCAAAAAACAGCAACTTCTGAAGTGATTAAAGCAGTACTCAACGCACTTAGTGATGAGGATGTGGGTGTTAGATGGGGCGCATGTGAAGTTCTCGGAAAAATGGGAGACGAAGCAGCAACTTCTGCAGTGGTTAGAGCACTATACAATGCACTTAGTGATGAGAATGTGAATGTCAGATATTCTGCATGTGATGCTCTCGGTAAAATGGGTCAAAAAACGGTAACTTCTGAAGTGATTAGAGCACTACTCAATGCGCTTAGTGATGAGAATGAGAATGTCAGATCTTCCGCATGTGAAGTTCTGGGGCAAATGGGAGACAGAGAGGCAACTTCTGAAGTGCTTAGAGCACTAATCAATGCACTTGGTGATAAGAATGCGTATGCTGGATGGGTGGGTTCAAATTGTCTTTCCAAGATTTGCGTGAAGAAGCGTTATTTAGATTATCTAGAAGCTCTTTCTGCAGATCAACTCATCAGCGGGTTTTTCCACACTGAAAATGTTGATTGGCTTCCTGTTATAACCGTTGCTGCACTTCTGCAAGGAAGTGCAGTGACGGTGACTGGACAGACTGTTGTAGTATATGGTAGTAAAGATCCAACTGTGGTGGACGTTTGCAGTTTAAATTATACAAGACTGACTCAGAAATTAGTGGAAGCTTTTGTTGACCAAACAGGAAGGCTTGACTTATCTTTTAACCTGCCTAGTTCGTTTGTTGAAAACGTTTCGGTTGATGAGCACACTTTCTCTCTAATAAGGAGTTTCATTCGCACATGTAGCATATTGTAATTTAATGGCGGCTTCACATCCTTATTGTCAAGAAACAGTACAGTTGTTTTTAGTCATTCTTTGTAATTTTAGCACTGATTGCCCTTGACCCCAATAAACTTGTGAAAACAAAGGTTCTCTCGTTTCTCAGATTAAAAAGGAGTAGATGTAACTGGTATGAAATATTAGTTAATGCTTGAGGACTAAGGTTAGTCCATGCAGTTTCGAGACAAGTTTTCTTTCCTTGTTCTTCTTGCAATAGTTAAATTTAGGCGCTCCGATATAACGTTTTGACAGATCACTGTTCTAGATACGAAAATGTCATTTTCAGGAAATATTTTATTACTCTTTTCTCACTGGTTTAGCATTTGATCATATTTATATCCGTCACCGTCTCTCCACCTGATTTTTGTCAGCCATTTGCTTTGATACCATTAATCCTACTACGCATTACATTACAACACATCGATAACCTAAACCACATCATTACGCATCAAATCTTACCATATTGGCACCCCATATCATATCACCAAGCCTATTGTTCGATCCCATGCCAGATATTCTATGTGCAGTTCTCAGGAAAATGGGAGAGAAAGCAGCAACTTCTGAAGTCATTAGAGCACTACCCAAAGTAGTTGGCGGTCAGAATGAAAATGGCAGACCTTCTGGATGTAAAGTGGCTGAGGAAGCTTCCATTTCTGGTGGTGGACGTTTGCAGTTTAAATCACACAAAACTGAGTCAGAAATTAGTTGAAGGTTTTGTTGATCAAGCAAAAAGACTTGACGTACCTTCAGATCTGGCTAGTTCTTTTGTTATGTGAAATGTTGTCGAAAGTTCAATTATGATATGAAAAGCTGCTAATTCCTTCTGCATTTTACTTTGTTATGCTTGGTGGATTACTAAGGGTCTGAAGAACGCTGAGTGCCCTAAAATGGTGTGACAAAAAAATGTGTAACAGTGTTACGTTTGCTTTTTGCTGTTTTTACCCGAGTAAAAATAGTTAGAAGAAAATCTTTTTTACCGCTGAAAAGCTCGTTCGATGCTTTACAAAATTTGCTCTAGGATCATGTCATTTGGAGAATGACTTTCGCAGGAAATTAGAACTTTAGCAAGAGCTCCAAATTTAGGGTCTTTTTATGTAACAGCGTTACGAGATGAAAAACCTTTCTCGAAGCTCCAGACTTCAACCAAAAAACTTTGTTTTTAAAGCATACATAGGGTATGATGAGCTGCGTCGAATGGCGTTTGAACGAACTTTCTAGCTCTCAAACTTTCCGAGATAATTGAGAAAAAGTGTGTCAAAAACGTAACAGCGTTATGTTTGGGCAAGCCGACATCCTGATGCTTCTTTATACAAATGAAAATCATGTTTAAAACCGATCTAGTACGAAAACACTGTCCGGAGGCAAATTTTATTTTATTTTTATTTATGTCTCATTCGAAAGAGTATAGAAAATAACCACTAACCATGCAATAACTCTTTCTGAAAGCGCATTTTTAAAAAACTAGAGACCAAGCAGTCTGTTGAAGGTCACTCTTGTTACCAGAAAACGTGAATTTTCACATATTTTCGTATTTTCTGATTTTCTGAAAAACTATCAAACTCTTATAATTCGTTCACGGTTCATTTGAAAGAGGGATGCTTACTCTAGAAGATCGTGTATTTAGACATAATTAGGGGTGTTAATTTAGTTTTATTGTTCATTTATAATGGATAAATGTAAATGAATCATTTACTTTTATAAAATAAATATAAATTCTTTTTTCGTTTATTTATATTTATTTTTTAAATATAAATGATTCATTTACATTTATTTTCCAAAGTAACACTAAATTAACATCCCTAGACATAATAATATGTTTAACTATCTAGGACTAAATAAAAGAAAACTAAAAAAATTCCATATTTTCAAAGTTGCATTTTTCTCAGTACTTTTTAAATATAGACCATGCATATGGTGGTCCCAAAATAAATGTTACTTCATTTTTTAGAGCAGGCAATTCTGCATCGATTCATTCGAAAACTCAATTCTGTAACCAAAAGCGATGCAGATTCTGAAAGTAGACACTTCAGGCTACCTTTCCATGTGCTTATCTCAAAACCAATTTTTTTGAAAGAAAATCATAATTTCTGAGGGGGAAAGCCTTAACATTATCATGTTGAAAAACTTTGAGATAAACGCTAAGTTGAAAAATGCATGTGGTTGTGATGTTGTGAGGGAGAGATTTAGATAAATCGTTTTAAACAGACAAAAAAACTTCATATTTTAGTTAGGATACTACTGCTTGATGCAGTTTTCGCCGCCCTTTCAAATAGTATGGTTGAAAAAAATTTGTTATCGACTGTTCCGATAAATTATAAAAATTTGGAAAATGCTTTTTTTCAACAAAGTTTTATGGAAAATGCTATTTTCAAAAGTTGATCACTAAGTTTTTGAAAACTCGATTCAAAAATTGGCGTTTTCTCTGCAATCGATGGTTTAGTATTAAAAACTCGTTCTGTAATTGGACTGATAAAACATTTGATATTAATTATTTTGTTTCTCTTCATAGAGTAGCATTAGATATAGGAAGATCTGATGATTTTAATCAAAAAGCTTTTCTTCTTTTTTATCTTATTTATTTTTAAAGAGAAATGTAAACGTTGCTGATGAAGTTTTATAAGAATGTTTCTATTATAGTTGACTATCATATTTCATCGAAAACATTTTTTCCGATGATTTGGGCGGTTTGTCTGAAATATTCTATGCAAATCTTATTTCTAAACGGAAAAACAAATGAATTTTTCATCGATATTTCAAAACAACGTGAAAAAATTATTAAATCACACAATATCAGTAGGACACTAGCCAAAACAATCGGTTTACCCACTTCCAAAACCCACTTTTCTATTAAATATATTCAAAATCAAATGAGAAAAAAGTTTGTCTACTCGAAAATTAAAGAAAATTGCACATTGAATATAGAATAGAAAATTAAAAATATTGACATAAAAGTGGATTCTAAAAGCAAAATACAAATGCTGTTTGATTTCAAAGCGTGTTAACCGGAAGAAATATCTTTTCCTTTGCATCGCAACGCTCTACCAGAACATTCTCCTCTAAAAATAGTTTTTTTCCAATGGATATGGAAAATCACTTATTCATGATTTAGAAACAAAAGCTGTGGACAATAATCGATTAAATCAAAAAGCATAAAAGCTAACGAAGAATATTTTTTCTTTTTTTGGAAAAAATCTGGAAAAGGTGTTCATCTTTTACAGTTTTTAGGATTCAGTTACAAGCAAGAATTAGTTAATCTAGAAAATGGTTTGCATGAAATTAAAGCTGATTTATTGTTAGATATAATTTATTGGATGGAAAATAAGACTATAGAAAATTGTATGTCCAAAAAAATGAATTGGAAAAAAATAGAAAAGACATGTTCAGGTTAAAAGAAACATTGAATTAAAAACTGAGAAAATTCATAGTGAACTAATGAAGATAAATATTATTACATAATCTCTCGATATAAAATTATTAAAAACTGAATTAGAATTATAAATTATAATAAATAAATTATATTTTTGACAGCAGCTTTATACTTTTTTTATTCTTATTTATTTTGTACCGCTTTACCGGTTGGTTCTTACTATGTAACTGAGATCTTTAGATGCATACTAAGAATTTATTATCCATGGTTAACCGAGACAACTACATCTAAGACGTTCAACCGTTATGTTAGTACTATAAATGTAAGTCAATCTATTTATCTATTGTAGAGTTAAAAAAGCTGGAATAACGTATGTGTAGACAAATGTCATGCTTTCAAGACCATCTCTCACTGATCTTGTTGACGATCGACACTCTCAATAGCCGTATCAATTCCTTCCGGCCATAATAGCGCTGACATTCTTGTTTTCAATTTGACTTGATCATTAAACAGTTGTTCAATCTGTTCCATAACCGATTCTTCAATGTCCAATTGCTTACCCATTTCCAAAATTGCCTCTCTCTCTTTTTTGTGTAATGTTCCATGAGAACATACAACAATGTGATGAGACAATTGTAGACAAATATTAGACCAAACAAGCGGTTAGAAATAAATTGCGTAATAAATGAAGGAAGTCAATCGGCCGATGCCGCATGGAAACTATCGTAGATGAGTGCTCGTCTGGATTGTCCAACAAATACATCTTTATTGTTTAGTAAATCATGCCAATCTTCAGCATTTGGTACATACTTCTGAAGTTCGGCAAGCAAGTCGGCTGGTGCACCTGAAAATAGAAGAGATTACTGACATATGATCGTATCTAACTATCGAAATGAAATTAACGCTATTAATAATCATCGTTTCATTATTAACGTATCAAACATCGTAAAAAGTATTATGCCTTTTCTTTACACTTGCTGAAAGTCTCGTACGGTAGACTTTTACATATACAGCGACACTAAGCGATAGAAAATTAATTAATAAACGAAGAAAGAAAAGCAAATAAAAATATTATATCTTAATCTAGCAGAACAAGCATTTTTCTAAGTTGCTATGAGTATTTGTGTATTTTTCAAAATGAAAGAAAAATTAATTTACTCAAACCTATTCGCGTAGGAATGCTCTTTATTCTTCCCATATGATATAGGGCATGGGTCACTACCACAAGCACACAGGTAACCGTTTTTAACTACTGTCGAGGCATCAAGGAAAATGGCTATACATTGGTTATCAAGATTCGCTCATGCGAAACGTCTCATTTTACAGAAACATGTTTACTTTACCAAATGCATTTGTTGAGAAAAACATATAAAGCTATAAACAAAACTTAGAGCATTTTAAAATACATTAAATCGCAAACAAACAACTGTTCGAACTTCGTGATCTGGTGCATTGCCGAATGTTTTAAATCTTGTCAGAAATACCTTTATATTTTTTTCAACAAATGCATTTGACAGAGTAAACATTTTTTTGTAAAATGAGACGTTTCGCAGCCATGAGCGAATCTTGATAACCGATGTATAGCAGTTTTCTCTGATGCCCCAACAGCAGTTAAAAACTGGTGCATACCTACGTGTGGTTAGACTTAACTACACAGGTCGTTGACTCCGGCGTAAGGATCCTGACAGAATCTGCCGGATCCGACACTAGAACATGCCGGAAGTCGGTAAAATCTGGCAGCAACCATGCCAGAAATCCGTTGCTCGAAATCCGTGTCGGAAGATGTTGGAAAAGATCCGACTGGATCCTTTGAGTTTCAGGCATTGAATTTCGCTCGATTTGGCAGAATGTGATCAGTTTTCAGGTCTTTTAAGGCTAAAAATAGCCTTAAAGTTTTTCTTTCATTTTCTAGTGGTTCTTCTCTCTGTTCATTCGAGAGAGTGGAAGGGCCCACTAGCCAGAACGTGTACAACACGCCTGTTGAACAGTGTGAGCGATGACTCTTACCACTAGGAATTTGAGAAGAACAATTTCTCATTTTTAATTATCTGTAGTGTCGTATTTAAAGTGCTCCTGTCGTGAAATAAAACGGTGAATATATTAAGCGCACAAGAAAGAAAAAAAAGAATAAGGTGTACATCACAGGATCTGTCAACTTCCGGTCACCGGAAATTAACGGATCCGACTGGTTCTGGATATCGGATCCGATCTCCAAATCCTCCAGGAACCAAATATCGGAACGCGAAGGAATTGAGTAGATTCCGAACTCCGGATCCGATTGGACGCTAGATCTTCGGAAATCACCGGAATTAAGAAGATCCGACAGGATCCGATCGGACGAATTCGACCTGGATATTTCTTCGTCTGACAATTTGTTTGACAAAGACACTGGCTCTATGTGTTATGTTTGTTGAAACAGGTCATATTTTGAGATGGATTGTTGAATAATCATTGCGCTCTGGTCTGGTTTCATGCTGATTTTTTGGGTTTGATAAAAACTGTTTATTCAAATTATATTTAGTTAATTTTACAACCGCTTTGTAGTTACTAGAGACTCATTCATTTCTGAAAGAATCAAAAGAAGATACCACGAGCGGTTTCGACCTTTCTCAAGGATCTCATTAGATGATTTCCTTCGAGAAAGACAGAGTTAAGGCACGACAAGCAACACAACTCCGTCACATCGTATGAGGGTGTTACTATTTCTTGTCCTTATCGAACAAAGATCTAGTAACTTTCACTCAACATTGTTGAGTGGAATTTACTAGATACAGTTTTAGTTTAAAAGGATGAATCATTTCTGATAGAATGAAAAAAAATACTTAATGTAGAGAAGCAGAACATGTGCATTGTACAGTGATATCGTGCTTCGTTCTCGTCGTGTGAAAGTTATCGTTCTTTGTTCGATAAGAAAAAGTAATAGTAACACCCTCATACCGTGTGACGGAGTTGTGTAACTTGTCGTGCCTTAACTCTGTCTTTCTCGAAGGAAATCACCTGACGAGACCCTTGAGAAAGGTCGAAATCGCTCGCGGTATCTTCTTTTGATTCTTTTAGAAATGAATTCTGCCAATCTCTAGTAACTACAAAGCGGTTGTAAAATTGACTAAATATAATTATTTAAATCGAGTTTCACATTTATATATGTTTTTCGTAACGTCTCAGCTGAGATACAAATTATATTCTCAACTGACATACAATCCATATTTTAATCAAGTATCTCAGTTGAGAAACCATTATATCTACGAAAATATTCATTTCTCAACTGAGATATATTTGATAAAATATGGACTTCGCGAATTTTTCACCTGAGATACACTTTTGACACGTGTGCTGAAACGTACAATTGTGCAGTGTACAAAGGTCTGTTATTCAATAGTGAATGAAATGAAACTAGGTATATGATGTATCGCTGCTAAGTCCGCAAAATGGCGTGAAAATCGCTGTAATTATTGTGGATTTTGTAGAACTATTGAATAATAGACCTTTGTACACTGCATAATTCCACGTTTCAGCGCATGTATTAAAAGTGTATCTCAGTTGAAAAATTCGCGAAGTCCATATTTTATCAAATATATCTCAGTTGAGAAATGAATATTTTCGCAGATATAATGGTTTCTCAACTGAGATACTTGATTAAAATATGGATTGTATCTCAGTTGAGTTCAAACCATGTTTTTTCAAAAGCATAACTTAAAAAACGAAGTTATGTTTTTTCGCGCTGTAAAAATCTTTCCCTATACTCCTTCGCTACACTTTCTGTATGAGAACAATGTACTGAGGCTTTATGTCAATGTTTTTTATTCCCTTGACTGAACTTTTGCATGCTGGTGCAAGATAGTCAGAACATCATTGTATGTTGGACGATCTCTGTAGAACTTCGTTTAGAAGACTGTTACTTAGAAAGATAAAGTACAAAATAACTCTTAATGGACTTTTTAGAAAAGGCCTAATGATTGAGTTTTCCTGTGCCATACTCAAACTGATTGAACAAACTTACAAATTCGAATTCTTTTAGACTTTCTAATTCTGATTAAAATCGTTAATATTATTACCTAGTGCTGCTCTGTAACCTAATATCCATTCTTTTTCTTTCTCATTGTATTCGCCATCAGCTGCCGCGAGTGTCATTCGTGTATAACGCAGGATAGTATTACACATCTTCAATTACTCAATGTGGAACGTTCAGTCGATAGGCACATGTACGTACACGTCATCATCGTCCAGTCCAATATGTTCGCCATCGCTTTTGCGTATCTGATCAGTAATTTGTTTGAAGGAATCCTGCTCCCTCCTCGATATTCTTTAAAAACCCAATTTGCAATTTGCCTCTGCCTAGCGTCGCCACCATCACTGCTCATACTTTGTCTTGGCACAAGTGGTTCTCTAAATTAAGTGAGAGAAAAAAATAAGAATAGTTAAAAACGCACGCAATGGTGATACGATTTGTTCTGACTAGAAAAGCTAACACTATTTCAAGTGTAGATGAAGCCTATTCAAGCGTTAAACACCACACTTGAATAGAATGTACAATCAATCTAGTTTACTATCAAATAATGTGATGAATTCTACACCTATATGAATTATGCAGTGTATCGGTAAGAAAAACATTGTATAATTACTTTTTGAGATTTTCCTATGATGTACTCATCAGCTCATAACCCCTATTTGCAAATGAGAAGGGACATTTTTACAGAGTAGTTTTCTATAGTAATTCTTTTAAAAGTCTATCGTTTAATCGGAGAGTGGAAAGAGCAACTGAGGTTCTTAAACTCGCGATTATCGAACTACTCGCAAAATAGTAAATTTCTTTTTTGTACCCAAAGTCAAGCGTAACGTTTCTCACTCCGTCGTGATACGATCTATTTGATATTGAAGAAAAAAGTCAAAAAGCACCATAGAAAATACGACACAGAAACCGCAATAACGCGATTGAATTTATATTCGTAATGTTAAAAAGTCTGAAACTCGGTCGTGCGAGATCGTAGAAACTTGGCCAACATCTCATTTTGTGGAGAATTGAAGGGGCTATGCAATGATATGGTTGAAAAGCTTCTGAAAGAAATTTTAAGGTCATTAGGTTTTCTCGAAAACGGTTTTTTTCAGAAATCTCTATCTCAAGACCCCGAGATGTAGCATAACTTTTCTTCTTCGAAATATATAGAACTCGACGCGCTCTTTCATTTGATACCAACTTCAAGGTTCTACAATAGAGAATTTGGTCAGCAGATATTCTTCAAGCTAGGCCAAATCCGCCGAAAAATGCATTTTTCCGCTGCAAGGCTGAAACGGCTATAACTTTTTTTCTAACAAGGCTAGAGGCCTGCGGCTTTCCATTCGGTTCGGCTTGCTGAGCTCTATAATGTGAGGTTGGTCTCGTTACTGACGTCAAAGGTTGATGTAAATGATGGTAGATTTTATATGGATTGAGCCTATCCGTCAGTGCCGAAAACATCACTCTCCAGTAGTAATATCCGTAACGGTGTGTGCTAATACTGTCAACAAAAGATCATTTTTAACAGTAATATTGTAAAAACGTGGGTGTTCGCAGTGTAGATAACAATTGAGCAATAGATAGTTTTGGTCGCCGTTTAAAGCTGCATCGAATGGTATATAAGACTTCCCTTCAAACTTGTTTCATTCTGAGAAAAGGTCGAAAAACACATCGCAATGGGTTCGCGGAGCAAAATATTCGTTTCGCCCTGCTTATCTATTTAAAACGTATAACAGGTTTATAGAAGGCTTTTGTACTCTTAGGACAACTTTCGGATATTTAGGAATCCATGCGGACCAATGTGGATCTTTGTAGATCCACGCGGAATCCCGGATTCGCCTTTTCCCCCTTGCGATCTATGCATCCATGTGTTTTATAAAATACGCTATAACAAATGGCCTCGACGTCAATTGTACACATCATGACTGACTCTATCACATGCCCTAAACCAATTAATGAGCTTTGTAAAAATGCTACGATTCGATATCTCGTCGAAGAATGAATAATTATTCCATATCTTAAAGTAGAATATTTACGGGAGCGTGACTGATCAAACGAATTTCCAGATAAACTGCTATGAGAAGGTAGTATAAAATTTCGAGACTATAAGATAATCACGGTTGATGCCTGGTGATCCAAAGCAATTGATGATAACATCTATTTATATTTACTTAATCGGTTCGAAAGATGGTTTTGCCAATGAAAGGAAAAGTCGTTTAATGATGATAGAATATACACAATAATATAAACAAACAATATTATCTGATCATTCAGAAATAATAAGAAATAGTATTGATGCAATTAATAAATACCATGATATAACAAATGAATTTATAAGTCTAGGTACATGTGATCAAACATAATATTTTGAAAAAATAACTGAAAATTATAATTATTACTGTATAATATCAACGATTTTATTTTCGTTCTAACATATAATTTAAATTTATCGGAAAATGTGAACACATAATTTTTGGATAATATCATTCACAAATAAGTAATTATGATGAAGATAGTTAATATTTTAATAATTATAATTTCCAGTTATTTTTTCAAAATATTATGTTTGATCACATGTACCTGGACTTATAAATTCATTTGTTATATCATGATATTTATTAATTGCATCTAAACCATTAATCAGATAATCTAAACAATTAAAATCTAAACAAAATCTAAACAATTAATCAGATAATATTGTTTATTTATATTATTGTTTAGCAATATTATACAATTGAATTTTAACGGTTGGGTCAGAATAAATGACTTTTAAGATAAAATAATCTTTATCAGCACGAAGAAAGATTTAATTTTATCGTACAAAAAAAGTCTATACTTGAGCATTTATCAATTCTTTTTACCGTCACGCTTTTTACCGGATTTAGTATACCGGATACAATACCAAAGTTAAGAATAGCAAATATGATCCAGGATACAACGGATAGAGTATTTGTTGTTCAATGCGCTTTATGGAGGCTTTTGTATTTGACAGGTTCATCAAATCTTGTTGGTATTATTGCACTCAATGGGACATGTCTTATGGAACTATGGCGTAGTTGAATATCTGATTTACTCTCTAATTATTTACTAACGTGGCCTCTGTATAGCAGATTGATTTACTTTGTTTTCATGCAAAAAATGGTTTTTCTCACTGTGCAAAAAAAAGTAGACAGGCAGTTGCAGCTCTAATTTGGATGTATTTTTATAAGGTTTATGGTACTTTGTCCTAATAGTTTGTCAGTAGAGCGCTCGTCGATGTCTCTGATGAGAAAAATATAAACTATCGTATTTACAATCTTCGTCCAAACACGTTTGGTAGCGATCCGGTAGAAGACACATTCGCTCACATTGTACTTTAGTTAATCTATTTTCTCACTGTTTCGTTCCTTTAAAAGCTTCAATTTCATTCAATTTGCCTTTAGTCCAGATCAGGCATGCAACCATCCCAAGCTAGGCAGCGCACATGTTGAATAGCAAACCGTTCGGTCACCGAACTATCGGTTTGGTGCGTGCCTAACTTGGACATCTATGATCTGCTGCGATACCAGCTAATGTGCCTTCGTGTGCGAGGAACGTCGGATTCATTTCTGATTATTCAAATCATTCCGTTTTATCAAGAATCAGAAACAAGAGGCAAAGGATTAGTTCCACTGTCGTTTATCTCTAACGGTAGACAGTTTCAAACTGAGGGCGAATTCAACGTGAAATTAAATCGTTATTGTCTAGGAGCACCGGGTAAGGACGTATCAGGTCCTGAAATTTGGGCCGGCATAATTGTGCATGAAATGTTACATAATCTCGGACATGGTCATGAAGAAAACGATTATAGTGACACTTGCCAGATCAATGTTTCCGAAGAATGTATTGTGGCTAATGGAAATTATAAAAGCTAAAATTGTGCGTTTGTTGACAAAAAGCCAAACTAGATGGCTACACAAGAAAATGGAAGAAATGATTCAGTCTCACTTGTTTGTTCTTTTTTCTTCCATGGTTACCTAAAAATCTGAATATTATTAACCAAGTTACAAAAAATCGTACTTAAACTTGTACAGAACGCGCGAAAAGTACATAGAAATTACAATGGTTTTACAGGTGTGCTACTAACTTATGATGACTAAATTTTTCTATAAATGCATTTATCTGTGGTTATGTCGACAGAATCTATGATCTTGGAGAAAAAGAGAGATAATGGAGATTTTTTCGCTATTTTGAACTAAATTTAGTCTTATTATTACTTTGGTGTTGTTTTCTGATCTACCGGAGTCAAAATGGGCTAGGGGGAGGGAAGATCACTTAAGTAAGCAGTACAAGTACAAAAATCTTAGTTACTTTATTACAAAAGTTCTAGTTCTAGTTTATACACAATAAAATGCCGTACAATTAAAACAAACTAAATTTAAACAGTTATAAATTGATACATTTCTTTTGTTAATTGCATAAGATAAGGGTTGTTATTTAATATATTAGCCATTTCTTTCCATATCTGTTTGACATTTTTGTTTGTATCGGCATGAAATGCAAATATAATATTTGATAAAAAATTTGCTGGTACAAGTTTAAATTCTTTTGATTTACAATGGAGATGTACTTGACGTACTAACAAGATATTTTTATATATTTGCTCAACATAATAAATTTGATTGTTAAATTCCTCATTTTTAATCCAATCAATATCTGGAATTTTACATTGAATTTGTCTCCATTTGGACTCTGATAATTTACGAAACGAATTAATTGAATATTGAAGTAGTGGTTCTTTAATCATTAAATCTTCCTTAACGTCATCATCTACAAAAGAAATAAAAATAACACAATATTGTAAGTAGTTTATTTATTTTCTAACTAATTAAGAAAATATTACGTTATTATAGTATTTCTTCAAAAAATTTTCAGAAATTTAGAATAGCCTTTGTATCACAAATAATATACTACAAATATAAATATTTACACTTACTATCAAATGTATCAAGGAAATTCAGTGTTAAATATGATAGAATAAAGCCAAACAAATAAATATGATTGCTTATTTTTGTTTCTGTTTTCGTTTTGTACCAATAACGCATAAGTAATAACCAAAGACGATGATCGTCATGTATAAAATTATTATTCAATAATTTGTTTTTAATATCTTCTCTGTTATCATCAGGAGAAATCAGACATCGATAAACGTAAAGTAACTTTTCGGAAGATTTTTTCTTTCTTTTTTCAAATAGATCTTCTCCACAGTTTTCCATTTCATAATTCATTTTCACGTTATTGATAACATCCGTATAAATAAATTGAACACAATCTATGCGTGGTCGTTGATGCAAATAGTTCAATAACATTGAAAATAATGGTAACAGTATATGTTGATGTTCTTTATTCTGATTGTATTGACATGTGAAGTGTCGGTACATGAGTAGTTGTATAACTGATGAATCTAGACGACCATGTAAAAATAGTTTCATTATATACGATGGAATTTGATTTTCATATTTTGTTCCATAATTCTTAATATCTGATGGATTAAGAAACATGTTAGCTAAGTTTACAATTTTATTTTGTTTAATTGTGTTGTCAATCGTTTGTTTATGCCAAAATAAATTGAATAGTGACGGATTATTAATGATGAACTTATTTATGATTGTTGTTGAATCACAATCACTTTGATTTGGAATAGTTTTTAACCAATGGAGTAGATACCAAATATTGGTCAAGATTTCTATCTCTTTTAAATCGCCATCGTTTATTCCTGTTAACCATTCATTATACTTTTTCTTTGTTTTTTTCTCTATATGTACGTTGTCTTTTAAATATAATCCTAATGCTTGTTGATTATCTATATCATAACCGACTGAACACATAATAACTGGAAGTAACGCTAAACATCTCATAGTTAGACCCTTATAAACATTTAGTAATGTTTTGTAACAATAAAGTTGACCAGATAATGTCGTAAAATCTAAGTATTTTAATGGTATGTATCCTTTACCTATATGATAACAGTAATAATCACTATCAAATCCAATAACATATGCATTTAATTTATTGGCTAAGTGTACGCAAAGTGGATCGGCTTCTTTTGCAGCTGATCTATATCGTATCTCTAGTTTTTCTAATACATTAATCATAGTATGTTGAAGTAATAGTGGCATTTGTTGTGTATCATTATCAGAATAAGCTTGGTTTGTATTAAATTCTTTTCTGTATACTCCATCGAATACAACGCCAACATTTTGGCATTTATCCTTGAATGTTTTCAAGTATTTAAAAATTTGCTTATAATATTTATTGTACGCAAATGGAGAACATTTACGGACTTTTGACAAAATATCGTAACATAAACTGTTACCATCTATGATTACATTGTCAGTTGTTTTTAATGTAATCGGAGTAAAAAGTGATGTTGAATAATGTTTAAAAATAAACTTATTAAAGTACGGTATACCCATTAAACAGTTTTTATTTCAAATAAAGCGAATTTTTAAGAAATCGATGTATGATTTATATAGGATCTGTTTTTGAACCAGACTCAATATTCTAATAGTAAGGAAATTTTTTCCAGCCGGCAGTTATGCAGTTAATTGTGGGTTTTTTTTAACTTTTCACTACTATACAAACAGCGTATTACGAGAAAAAAATGTAGTTCATTCTTTATTAAAAAGAACTTTCTGGCATGTCTGTAAATTATTGCGAAATAACACTAGTCATCAGTGAATGAATCACATATTTTTCTATCATCGCAGCGTTCTATCATCAAGCATTTCAAGCACTGTAGGGAACTGAATTTTTGGTATAGTGAGGATGCGTTTGCAGTAGAGAAACTGACAGTATGAGAAGTGAGTAAGAAATGTGCAGTGTATAAGGCAGTCTGAATAAATTTCATGTTTGGACAGCTCTTCAGCAAACCGTGTTTCCCATTGTAGAGAGGATTATATTCAAGTTTTGACCGTCCCCATGCTACACCCTTTCAAAAATATCCAGATGTGCCACAAATTCGATATATATTCTCCTCAATTTCAGGCTTCCTGAACCGCTTAGCAACAATTTGTAAAGCTTGCTCAATTATTTGTTTCTCATTTGTCATGAACCCATCGTGAACGTTATAAAAACTCTTTCTCTAAGCAAAATACTTTTTCGAGATCACTCATATATAGTGGAGTTTAAAATTGACAGTCTTTATAAATTTGTGATTGTGGAATGTATGTGTATGACAAGCAATGTGACTGCATGTAAAAGGTGGAGGGAAGGTTTTCTCACGGTGGAAAAAGATGTTTGTTTTTGCTCTTGGTTTGCAATAGTAAGCTAGAAGTATACATAATAAAGTGGTACATCCATTTCAAAATAGAATGAACTCGGTTGCGTTTTGAATAGGTCAGGGCGTTATTAGCTAGTGAATTCGGGTCTTCGTCGTTGAATAGAAAACATCTGAGGGCATCCAGACATGTGATAATCATTGGACTTGCCAAGATCTTTGAGGGATTTTCAGAAGGTACCTTCTCCCAGATGTTCTCTTTTCAACAGCGAAGACCCGAACTCACTAGTTAGTAACGTTCTGAGCTATTCAAAAAGCAACCGAGTCTATTCTATTTTGAAACGGATAGGACGTCGTGTATATTAAGATACTTAATGAACATACATAGTGCGATTGAAAGTCCTACCTGTTTTGATCCGAAGTTTTGTAAAAACTCGAAATTCATTAGAAACTTTTTCGCTAATTGCAGTGAATATCATCACTTGAAACCCTGAGAGGCATGATAGTTTCCACACTAGCGCTTTTTTCAAAATTTCTTCATATATACAATATGTATTAGATTAGTGTCTATCACATTTTGTGACAAAACGTTGAACTTTCTGAATAAACCATTGGATTTCTCGTACGATAGCTGGTTAATCTTAAATTTCATTGAGTACCTCAAGTACAAAGACAACAAGATTTTCTCTAGGGCGATATTTGAAAGGTGTCATTTATGGCTAAGAAGGGATTAAATTTCAAGGATAAAACATTTTGGTAAAAAAGTTTCCAGTCCAGCTTCTATCTTCGTAGGATAATATCAATTTATTTTTTGACAGGACAATGCAGTAGAAGAACATTGTAATCGATGAAGCTGAACAACTTGACAAGAGTTGTCAACTGGGCACACACCGTCTTACCATTCGCAATCATTAATGCCATCTTGACGCGATATTTTGATGTATAAGTCGCCGATAGGCATCATTGAAAGTATCCAACTATCTTTCTGTATCTTTCAGTGGCTGACAACCAGTTTACAGTGTGGAATATGAATGGCTTCAGGATCTACCATTTTCTCTGTGTTTTTACCAGAATGCTACACAACCCTTTTAGATTCCAAAGAGATTGCCGCTCCTAGCAAGAGGCATCATCTTGATTCGAAATGAAGCTGTGCAGACGACAGTTCGCGACGCTTTAATCCCTTCAATGACTAAATGGTTTACGGTCATAAAAGTGTTAACTACGAACGTAGAACGATTGAGAATGTGCAATCGTCGTGCCTTACAGGTATCGAGCGACATCTGACTATTACTTGTCGTATAGTGACGACTAATGTAACATGGTGGTACAATTTAATACTTTTAGACAGAAGTATACTGTGATTATAGTACCAACGTGTTACATTAGTCCTCACTGTACGGCAAGTAATAGTCGGATGACGCTCGATATCTGTAAGGGACGGCGATTGCACATTCTCAATCGTCCTACAAAAGATGCACAGATGGTGCACCGTTTACTTTTGCAGAAAACTGCAAAAGTGAAATGTGTATTTTTCTACTATTATCAGGCAGAAAGATTGTTGTTGTGTGTCTAATGAATTCAAAAATACTCATATACATTGATTAAATGACAACAATAATCGAACAATTTGTTATATAGCAAAAAATAAGACAAACATTCAATCTATTAGTACGCGAATTAAATAGGACATGAACATTGATCAATCATTACTAATAGCAGATCAATTTGAAAAATATTTAGTTGATAGTACTATTGGTACAATTTACCATGAAAATAATGAAAATAAAGATTTTTATTTATTTGAAATAATAAATCATGAACAAACAAATGAATGTGATCGATGTCAGCTTACTTTATCATTACATATATTTTTATAAAATGGCAGCAAATTTGATCATGGTCAAAATTAACTATTGCACAAACAATTAACTATTATTTATGGTGTGATCATAATAATTTAAAAATTATACCTATAAAAAAGATAATCATACAATATTATCTATATTTAACTATGATTAAAAATGAAATAATTATAGTTTAAAAGGACTCGTTTGATTTGGATGCTCTATGAACAAATGAGTTAATTGAAATATATTTTGAATATAATTCATCAGAAATATATAAATTCAATGTATTTCCTTCATCTCTTTTACAAAATATTTTTAATTCAGTTGATGTGTTCAAATTTTGTCACATATCAAATTTCGATTTGTTATTGTAATGAAAACGAATGAACAAAGTGATGAAATTATAACTGATCTTAATCAATCATTATCTATATTTAAATTATTAAATGGTATATTGAATTTAAAAAGTTGTTCAAAAATAACGATTTAAACGTACAATAATAAATATTATACACAAATACCAATACATGATCAAAATTTGACAATGAAAATTATAGTACAACTTGCATGTCAACATTTTACAATTGAAAATGTCAATTCTTATTATTTGACGGCCATCGATACAATGGAGATAATCGACAATAAGTTTAACGTACAATCAATTGAATAAAACACAATTTTATCTTTTGAATAATAGAAAAATATGCAATGTTTCGATTGAGAACAATTTAATGATAAAAAAACGATTATGACATTACGTAAAAGTAGAAAAATATCAAGCAATTATTTAATATTTTATTAGAACACAATTTAATTTATTTAAAGGATTTTATATCATCAAATGTTACACAACTTTATTCACCTATTAAATCTGATAATGAATCAGCAACAATCAATTTTAAAATTGATACGTTCAATTCTCATCTATATGTAACTCTTTGTCTCAAAGATGTGCAAGTACAGAATTTATTACGAGAGACATTTTACGCTTAGAACTATGTTCCAAGAGTCGAACGATATGTACTGACGAGAGGACCTCGCGAACTGTCACATCGCTTTTCCAGTCAAACTTAGTGGGTTATAGGTTATCAACTATGTTGACTTCGAATATCATAGTGGTAGCTCTCAAGAGACCTTCAGAGAGCTGTTTTTCTGGAAAAACAGTTTTTCAAGAATAACTAAAACCTTTCTTAAGGCATAGTTGTAGCCCACAAATTTCTGATTAAAATGAGATATCTCCCAGCTCTACATGACCTTTCTTTGCAAAGTTATGGCATTTACAAGAAAAGCCCTAGATGCTCAAAGATACGGAAATAAGAAATTAATTTAGGGCTTTTCTTGTAAATTCTCTAACTTTGCAAAGAAAGGTCATGTATATATAGCTGGGAGATGTCTCATTTTAATCAGGAATTTGCAGATTACAATTATGCCTCATTAAGAAAGGTTTTGATTACTTTTTAGAGTTTTTGAAAAACTGGTTTTCCAGAAAACAGCTCTCGGAAGGCTCTTTGGCAGCTATCACTATGATATTCGAATTCAGCGTAGTTGATAACCTACAATCCACTAGGTTCGGCTGAAAAAGCGATGTGAAAGTTCGCGAGGTCCCCTGGTGAGTTACATAGTTTTCTGACATTCTCAGTCCCTCCTTGTATGATACTCTCACATTTCCTGTTTTACAAAACTTTCTGATATTTTGAGTTTTCTGAAATGATTGAAAAAATTGATGAGCAGTACTAGATAAGACAACCACAATGTGAAATAATTGAAACAGCAAAAGGCAAAAATGATCAGAAAGTCAAAAATCAGAGGATTATATGAGATAATCAGAGGATATGGAGACGAACGAATGGAAAGGTCGGAAAGTCAGAAGATTAGAATGTGAAACAGCGTTACAAGCACTGTAGAGAACTGGCTTTTTGGTATGGTGAGGATGCGTTTGTAGTAGAGAAACTGACACTATGAGAAGTAAGTTAGAGATGTGCGGTGTAAAGGCAGTCTGACTCACTGAATAAATTTCATGTTTGGACAGCTCTCGTTTCTCTTCGTAAAGATGACAACCGTTCAATTCAATTTTGTTTCTCAAGTAAATTAACATGGAAACGTATTATGTGATATTAGATGTTTATTATTCGACGAAGATGGTAATTCATTTAAACTATATTTTTAATGAGTTTATGAGAAATGATGATCTTACATTGCAAGATATAGCTGATGATATTGATCAAAAATGAATTTAATACTAATCTCATTTATGATAAATCAAATTTAAAATGTGATATAGAATTTTATTCAATGAAATATACCATATGATTCAGACGTGTAAATGAACGACATTCGTTCAAAATTTATTTCAAGAAAATTTCAATTAGATAATAATTCAAACCAACAATATGGCTTATTTCAATCAGGTGATACAAATATTTATTTTGACGATAGTACACAAATTAGTGAGATAGTGGATTTACCCATAGAAAATATCATCATTACAATTCAATTTAAAATTAAACAATTAAACTGATTTTTAACAATTTTCTCTTTTCTCTTATACTATTTTTCTGTTAGTTTAATCGAGATGTAAATATGAACCTGTAAAACAAGTCTGTTCAATCATCCATGTTATATCGATCATTTAAGTTTAGTTGTATGTTATGTTGTTTTTGTCCATCTATTCTGCGAAACATTTTTTTGTTATTAGAACGAAAAACATAAACATTTTGGTCAACGTAACTTAAAAGTTTCTTTTCAGAACTGTTAATTTATTGCACGATTGTATCTGATGGGGAACTTATCGTTCTAATATATTGCCACCATATCGTTATTCGCTTCAAACTTCGAGCTCTTAGAGTCGAAGAATATATGGATATCATGATATATAGTAAAGTCTTAACGTTCATCTTACGTCTCACACCAAAGTCCAATGTAGAAAAATGAAAACATAACAATCAAACAACAACTAACGGAGCAAAAAAGATTATCAGCTGATTAAAGTAAGGATAAAAAACACAATAACAGCAGCGTTTTTTATTCTGAAACTATTGCCCATTAATCGTAATAACCAAAGTAAAGATGTTGATCATATGAAACAACCGATTGAAGTCTATAAGGAAAATGACGAACTTGTTCAACATGCCTTATCACAGAGTTCACAGATGGCAACGCAGACTACAGTTCTCGCTAATGTTCTTCGTAGCCTTTCTTCGATAATCTGGATAATGAATTCAAATATTGGCAATAATACAAAAATAACAGCTAATTTTCTCAAGGCACCTGTTTTATCTTCTCAAAATTCATACAATTCATTCAATATGAGTAGTTCAAATTCGAGTCAACAAGAACCTCGTACAATTGCACCAAAAATGCCTAAAAAGACATTCATTATTATCGAGAATAGTTTAGTAAAAGAACTATGGAATGGTTATATCAAAACAGCCGATAATTATGGTCAAATTAAAACTAAAGATTCAGATATAGATAGATTCCATGAACAGGTTCATAATGAACATTTCGATCGTATTATGAATAACACAACGAATGCTGTATTTGTAATCGGTATCAGGAATCTATCAACAGAATCGTCACAATAGATAATTGATAAAGTGAAATCGTTTGTCACAACTATCAAAATGAAATATCCAACGACAAAATTGTTCATTTTCCATATTCCCGTGCGAATATATCCAGGAATACAAACGAACATTGAACAAACAATGCTTGATTACAATCAACAACTTGATCAATTAGCGACAAGTGAAAATTTCGGAAGACATTCGATTTGAGTGTGAAAAAGTCAATGTTAAATGCAGATGACTTGCATTTCAAATCATCGAATGTCTATATTATGGCCTGAACATGAAAATCTTTATTATCGAAATAACAAACAAACACGATACATTATGAACTAAAAGTAAGAAAAAATATATAGACTTCTATTACTTTTCCTCATATTTCTTCAACTGTAACTTTCAAAGTTTGTTTTTATAACACTGTTAGCATTCTTTCTCATCATACTCGCACACACAAATAATGTACACTTACAAATATTTCTTTAGGAACTCCTAGCATTTTCGGTCTCACGGAAACATGGTTGAATGATTCTGTCCCTGATACAACTTTAGACATTACTAGCTTCAATTTCATTCGAAAAGGCAGAACCACGGGTAAGAAGGCCTTCTTTTACTTTAATTAAAAAATGGATTGCAGTATAGAGTCAGAAGACCCATCTATAATAAATATTCAAATACTTTGATAACACCATTGATTTTTCGAGTGCACATATGGAATAGAGAAAACAAAGACACCATTCAAAAAAATATGAATGCTCATGCAATATTCTACTGTGAAGGGACAAGTCGAATGAAATTATACATAGTGGCGTAAGTTAATAGTTTGATTTTGTCGAAGACGATGTCATTACTAGAAATGACCAAGAGATAATCAAACAATATGTGCGCATTAAACTCCGTGATTAAAGCGGATGGTAGTCATAAGAGTGGCGATTGTGCAGATCGAGGGCAACGGAATATGCTATCAATATAGTACTACTTAGTCGTAGCGGCAGCGGCAGAAACAGATAAAATATAAATCAAGAATAACTGATATTATTGCGCGGTAGGCTGATTGGATGTAGACGTGCTTTCACCATTAGTTTCAGAGTTAATAAGTTCATATATAACGAATAAATTATACCAGTCGTGTTTGTTACGACCATGAAGTTTAGAAAATGAATCTATCAAGCATAAGTGAAACTGACAACGTATATAGAACTTGTCGTTTACTTGACTCGATGAAATAGTACCATAAAAGTAGAGACGTGACACAGGACTCCTTCCTGTTTCTTTTCTCAATTTCTTGTGAATTACGGTTCGAGAATGACCATATTCGGTGAAAATACCACTAATATACACAATAACCGGATGCATCTTTTTTGAAGTGAGAAAAAACCGGAAGTAATTTCTCTAATAATGAAATGATGATATTTCTACGTCAAATATAATCAATACAGATATGGAAATATAACTCGATGATGTGAAGAGGACTCCTTTGGAACTTCTCATAGTTAAAAACAACTATGTATGTGTGATGCTGAGATCAACGAAATATTATATCATGGATAGACATGTACCGGTTACGGTTATTAATCGATAACCTTAACTGTTAAAACCTGTTTGACATGTTCATTCCGCTGTTTCTGACTCAAAATGTGAATAATATCGTTGATTTGTCAGCACATAAGAATGCGTGAAAGAGTAGACATTTTTGATAAACTCCTATTGTTACTACTATTTTCAAAAACAATAAAATATCTCTTGAGTACAAGCACTAGGATGTTTACTGTAGTATAAACAAACCAAAACTTTTTCGCAAATGTTTGATTTCGTCAGTCTTACATCGAAGACATTTATCTGTGGACAGCAGCGAAAAATGCATGCGATACATTTATGCTCTTTAAGTGCCAATCAATAGTTAATCGTTCGACCGGTTATTAACGGTTATCAGTTAATAACTGTAAGCGGTACATGTCTATCCATGGTATAATATTTCGTTGATCTCAGTATAAGACTAACAGAATCTTCGAATTTTACACTACTCATTAACGCGGAGACATAACAAAAACGTTCAAATCAAATCAATGATGTTTTTGTCCGACGATTATGATACTAAATGTAAATATCACTCAAGTAGAACTATATTCATACTAATTTTGCGTTCAGATGTTTAAAAGTCGAAGAGATGCGTAAACTAAAATATAACTCATAAAAGAAAACAGTTTTTCATTATAGTGACAGATGCCTTCTTTTATCAATATATAAAAATATCAACAAATCAAATCAACAGTATTTCACTTAATCTAAAGTACGTAGAAAGAAAACAAAAATTTAAAAATTTGTCACGAATAAACGATGAAATTTGGTATACATACACGTCGATAACTTTGAATATTGTTTTCCACTTTGTGTTAACCTGTATAGAATTGTATTTCTTTAGTGTTCATTGACTTTTTTTATTAACAAAAAAAAGAGAAAAAGAAAATTAAGTAAACCACAAAAAAAAAAGAGTCTTTTCACTCGCTTATATATATTTATATATATATGCTGCTTGCTATATCAAACACGTATTTTGTTTCTTCAACCAACGTCATTTTTAACAGAAAAAAAACATGCGTACGCACGTAATAAACCAAGATACTAAAGAATATAGAGGTGCACACAATACAAACAAATAAACATACATAGAAAATCCACTGCTTCTTTATTTATTTTTTTTTTGTTTTCATTATTTGTTTTGAAGATCAACAATCAAACGCGTTCGAGACTACCATGACAAAAAAAATTTAAAGAGAATCTAGCACTAAAAAAAAGAGAATTATGAACACAGAACAAACAGGGTAAAATACATCGAAATATATATATAGAGAGAAAAAGAGAGCAATAGATATTTTATAAAACGCACACAAAAAATTATTATTCTTTTGCACTTATTTGTAATAGTGGAGAGGAAAAAGTTCCATTAATGGTTTAGTTTTGAGAAGAAAAAAACAGGTATTACGTTGGTATATTGATGAGTGAATGAAATGAAAACCGTATGAGTTAAATGCAGAGAGATTTAGCCATTAATAATTATAGAAGAAAGGACTACTACTGTACTCTAGTAAAATCATAATTTTAAGATAGTTGACAGGACTCATGTCAATTAATTTCTCATTGACCTAGTTACACACTCACATGAACAATGATTTAGGAAGGAGGCAGAAAAGTACATCATAAAATGGCTAGAAAATATTAAGAGTACAAGTAGTAGTAGTTTTTTTTTTTACAGAGAATAGATATAAATTATAAGCAGCGAACAAGATGAAAAAGAAAAAAAAAGCGCTCACACGCATGTAACATTAAAGAAAAACAAGAGAGATCAAGAATTATGTATCCTCGACTACTTTCATCAGTTTGATTTTTTCTATTAGTTAAAAAAAAAAATTGAATATTGTACACGTACACACACACAAATAGACAACAACAACAACAACAAAAAATCGATTAAAATAGTTCGAATTTTTTTTGTTTGTTTTTTTCCCAACAAAATTATTCCTTTTTATTATTGTCACCGTCGTTTTGTTGTTGGGATTCGAATACTTCATCATTATGTATATCATCACCTTGTTGTTGTTCACCACCAGTTGCTGTTGCACTTGCTTCACCACTATTATTTGCTCCATCTTGTTCAGTATTATGCGCTATACCAGTATTTGTTTTTGGTTTTGCTTTATCTTTAAAATCTAATTTTTTACTTTCAATCTAAACAAAAACAAAAAAATATTCTAATAATTTGATGACGATATTTAATCACTACTAGAGCTAAAATTTAGCACAATCGAGATATTGATTTATGGAACATTTTAATCTTACTTTGACTGTTCCACCGCCAGCTTTATGATGAGCATTATCGAGCGAGCCAACCTTTGATTTAGCTGTCCATTGTAATTTTGTACTAGGAATCTATGTTAATCACACACAAAAACAAAACACACAAAATAGCGTTAGCATACAAAACAAATCACCCACATCGGGAGAATGTAAAGTGTTTTCCCCCTCGGATGTTGATTTCTGACGAAGTGCAAAGACATTTACAAAAGTTTCAAACAAATCTGAGAGAAACAAATAAACTTACCTTGACACTTCCGCCGCCTGGTTTATGTGTTGTATTATTCAATGAGCCAACTTTTGATGCTGCATTCCATTCAGGTTTCTTATTTGTTATCTAAATAGAACAAGATAAAAAAAATGTCAGTTAATGTACGAGAAAAAAAATGATTAATACAAAAAATGGCAAAGGAGGAGGCGAAAAAAAAAATGGTGCAGCTCATTACGATTTCAACAGAAACGCAAAATGAAGGAGCTAAAATAGAGAAGCAAAACAAATTATTAAAGAATGAACAAGCAAGCTTTGTTAAAAGATACCACTAAAGAAGTATTGTTATAACCATATTTATCATTAATTGATCATCGTGATTAGATGAACTATGTGCTTTTGTCAATGAAACGACCAAACCATGTTTCTGGTCTATCTGCGGTGCTCCATAGTCTTCATCGCATGTTATAAAAGTTTCGATAAAGTTTCAGTTTTTTCAACGGATGTCGTTTATAACTGCGATTTCAACAATGGATTTTATATAACCTCTTTTTATATCAGTTTTTACAATCGAGAGGACACTCAGACAGACGATGAACGATGTCATAAAACTTCGAAGTGTTTAACAGACAGATCGCGGTTCTGAATCGATACTTGATGAGATGTACAATGAAACGGCACAGTGATTGATCGTGAACGTCATCAATTGACGAATGAAAAATAAAGAGTTGGTTTATTAGTACATTTACGAACGATTATATACTACGTATCCTATGAAATGGCCGTAGACCTAAACATAATACACAAAAATTGTTAAATAAAGATATTTATTTAGAAAAAAATCATATACCTGTTTAAATGAATTTTTATTGAATTTTTATTCTTTCATATACTTCCGTTATTTTAGTTCTCCAATACTTGTTGTTTTCTATTTACTTGAATAATTTCTGACCAATTTAGAGATGGCTCTAGTAGTAGTCTTATTCAGTTGATAGAATGTAGAACGAAAATAAACATTAAATTGTCACAGAAAGATCGTATTCGCACTAAAAATACTTTTTCTTGTGCTTATGTTACTTCAACAAGTTTTTAGTGGTCGTTATTATTTCTACTCATGCCAGTCGATTTGTCGATTTAATGGTTCTTACGATTTTTGTACGAGTTGTGGTTAACTGACAAATTTCAACAGATATCAGCTGTAATGTTGGACGAATAAATGCCAGAGTAAAGTATGATTGCTCAAGAATGACGAATTTTTCACGATTGTCTTCAACTGCTGAACAAAATGAAGCGGTACAGTGAACTTCACATAAAACGATCATATTCTATTTATATGCGTCTATATCGTCGTTGAAGTCAGTTCTATTCGATTGAAAAATGGATGAAAATGGCGAAGATAAATCTCGACCGTCGATTGCAACGATCAGTTTGAGCCTAAAAACAAATGTTAAGATAAAACGAGTATAAACAAGAATAAGATGCTATATCAAATGTTAAGCGTTTTAATATCCATCAAAATAAACTTTATGGAAAATCTGGTTCAGGTCATTCGGTACATATATACAGTTTAAAAAAAAATTAATCGAAGCGGTATCATGATCGATACTCAGAACTACAATTTTTTGCTAATACTCACTGTTCGTTTATGATTGATCAGTGTTCATTGTGCCATATAAATCACTAATTTCTAATATACGTAATAAAATTCTACTAAAAACAAAATGTATCTTTCTTTTCGTTCTCCTGTAACAAACACTAAAGTAAAACTTGTATGTAGCCACACTTTTTAAGATCGCTAAATGTATAAGTATATAAAAATAAAAAGCAAAGAATAATAATATTATAATCGTAATGAGCAGCACGCACAGGACAGAGAAAGGGAAACAAGCTTCTATATAAACATAAAAAGCAAAAGTGTGAGTGGTTCACTAATGGTTGATTTAAGAAAAAATTGTCTATTTTAGATTTTTGTCATAACTTTTTCCTTCACATTCACAAGATCATTACTTCTCAACAGTTGCGTCTAGAAATTCTCTGCAACTAACGTATTAAGTGTTATTGAAAGACGTATAGTGAAATGCTATACTAAAAATAATAATGAGAAATTTGAAAATGATCACTTTTATAATTTGTCAAAAATAATACCGACGCAAATATTAGGTGTATGATTTTTCTGTACCAAAATAGAGAGAAGTAAAGAAAACTTCTCACGTAATCACTTGTAGTGTGGAAGAGTTTGATTTATAGATAGATGGTACAGCTCTTCAAGGGCAACTAATTAGATAGCCAAGTTTTTCTAGATTTCAACGAGCAAAGCGCATTGAACATTGAAAAATTTGTGTTTTTTGGTTAGAAAGTTGAACATTTTGAAACTTATCAGTATTTTTCGTATAGTTTTTCCATTTATATATCTTGTAATAAAACACGCATGACGTTATTTATTAAGCATTACTGGGCGTAGATCTTTGAGAACAAAAAGTCTTGAGAATGTGAGAAAAAGTTGACAAAAAATTCTTTAAGTAGTCAATTTTTTCTAACTGTCGGTTAAAGACACAGGGATTACTATCAATATCACCTGTACATGACCGCCTCCTGGCTTATGGTCAGCATTGACTAACGAACCAATTTTTGAGTGCTAAAAACATTGCTTATTTTATGAATAACTATCAGCGTGTGAGTACAATAAGTGAAAACGAGAATATTTGTAGTTTATTACCGTTGTATCGTTACTAGCTGCATTCTTCGAAGCTGCATCTGCTGTTGCTGGTCTACTAGCGCTTGTTGAAGGTTTTGTTGAAGAAGATAGGCTTGTTGCTGTATTAGTAGCTGTTGCAGGGCGTTGATGCGTTCGACTCTGAGAGATTGTTCGATCGGTATTTGTTGGTGCCACCGTTGTTGATGATGATACATTTGGCTTGGCTGTCGTTGTTGATGATAGTACATTTGGTTTGGCTGCGGCTGTTGATGATGATACATTCGGCTTGGTTGTCGTTGTTGATGATGATACATTCGGCTTGGGTGTTGTAGTTGATGATGATACATTCGGCTTGGCCGTTGTGCTACGAGTAGAAGAAGCGCCTGTTGTGTGAGTTAATGTAGAAGCCCCACTAGAAGCCGTTTTTGTTGGAGCTTTGGTAGAGTGCTGTGCTGGTGGAGGTCGCGGTTTAGAAGTAGTAGTTGTGCTAGTGCTAGTGCTACCAGTGGCAGATGGTGCCGTAGATAAAATTTCATCACCGGCCGCCGATGTCGAATGTGAATCATCTTTTGGAGTTGGTTGTTTAGGAGACGTTTTTGCTGATGGAACACGTGCAGTCGTTGGGACAGTTGTAGGACGAGGCTGAGATGGTTTTGAAGCCACCGGTTTCGTTGTTACAGGATCACGCTACAGAAGATAAAACAAATATATTAGAGCGAATTACCTTCACTCTTCAGAAAACTTTATGACACGATAACTCAAACTAATCGTGGAAATTGTTTTTGCATACAGGAGGACCAGGTACCAAATGACTATTGGTATAAACCCAAATTTAATACTTTTTCAAATCGATCATGTACAATACATCAAGAAATTCCAGTATGATGAAGTGATAGTGTCAGTTAGATTAAATTTATTTACCGTCGGCTTTGATTGTGTTGCACTAGCACTTGCTGAATCAGCTGTTGATGGCGTTTTGGGTTTCGCTGTTGTTGACGAAGACACTGTCGGCTTTTTGGTCGTTACTTTTGTATCACTTTTCGCATCGCTGCTCTTTGCTGATAGTGGTTTTGCATCTGTACTTTTTGCCGATGGTGGTTTTGGATCTGCGCTTCTAACTGAAGATATTTTTGATGCTGACGGTGTTTTACTAGCACTTGACGTTTGTTTCACGGCACTAGTCGCAGCCGGTTTTTTAGCTGTTACTGTTGTCTGTTGTTTTTGTTGCTCTTGTTGAGACGTTTCTGATGTTGGCGAAGATTTTTGCTGTTCTTTGGGAGTAGAAACCGGTTCTTTTTCAACCTTTTTATAATTTTCATTTTCCTCAACGGTCGATGGTGTATTAATTTGATCTTGTTGTGATTGTTGTTCTTGACTACCAAAATCTAAATGATTAGGAGGATGTGTTTGTGGTGGTGGCGTTGAAATAAGGTCGATTTTTGTCGCTATTTCTTGAGCAGTTTCATTCAATTCATTCGATAATTCTTCATACGATTGCTGATCATCTTTTTTCTCCAAATTATTTTCATCGACAGTAGTCTAAATCAGGACAAATTTAAAAAAAAAACAATGTATATGACAGATTATTTTATTGCAGTAATATTCAGTCTAAACCTACCTTATCGTTATCTTCCTGTCGTTCTTGTTGTTGTAAATCGAATATTGGATTTGTAAAACTTATTATATTTAAATGTTCCACGTGTTCATTTACATGTTTTTCGTGTGATTGTGTTAAAACAGTGTCCTTTTGCTCCTCTGGAACCGGTTGAGGTGGAGGATTGTTAACATTCGAAGGCGGAGTAGTAAAATCAAGTAGCGTATTATTATTATTTGCTGTTTCAACAATAGGTGACGAATGTTTAGGAGAATCAACAAGTGGTTTTGGTAAATCATTGGGCGATGGTGTTTGATCGTGATATAATGGTTCGACAGGAGCTTCTCCATTATTCGGATCAAAATCCAGTAATAATGAATTTTTATTATATTCGTGTGCATATTCACTAACTGGTTTTGTTGGCGATGGAATACTTGTATTGTTTACTAAAAAAGAGAGACATTAAGAAATTATTCAATAGATTTCATATTATCTCTGGGTCGTACCTGTTGTAAATAAGTCCTCGTCATTAAAATGTTGTTGTTGTTGTTGTTGTTGTTGTTGTTCACCATTCGTTTTTGTTGGTGATAATAAATCATTTTCTTCATGATGATGATTATTATTATTGTTATTATTATTATTATGATTATTGAATAGATTTGAGTCTAATAAATCTGTATTATGTTCACTGGTACCATTTTGTTGTTGTTTTAATGTTGTTGAAAACACATCGTCAACGCCACCAAATGGATCGGCATCATTTATAGAACGATTATGATAAGCATCAGTTGGTGTCCCATTACCATTTGTCTGAGGTTGTGGTGGCTGTTGTTTACTTGGCGTTGTGACTGGTGAGTGATTAGATTGAGGCTGTGAATCAAATGAAACTAAATTATTGCTAATCAGTGGATCGTCAAATGGATTATGATCAGACATTTTTGTTTCAAAGATAATAACGAATTTGGTAGACACGGGTCAAGAGGGCGTGTCTGACTAGTTCACTTTATTCTAAAGAGAGAAAAATGTGTATGTATGTACTCTAATCTAAAATGAACAAAACGGAAATGATAAGTAGGTTACTTTGGAATCTTTTAACTCTGCCTCATTCTTTAGTCTCCTTTAGGTTTCTCATCTACATGATAAATGAAACAACAGTAAACTGTAGATCATTTAAAGAGATACAATAAATATTATTTTTGTTGAACTCCAGTTTTAGTTTGTTAAAAGTCAACGTTGTACGTAAATTTGCTGAAAAACAAACATCATATTCGTAACATTGAAGTCAATCTCATTCTCAGTATGTCAGCTATTTCTATAGCATATTTAAACTTATTCTTTCATATACTACCAAACAAAATACACTACTATATTTTTTATCCAAATACAATGAGAAGAACTATGATAGTCGTTGATTTGCATTTGTCTAATTCTGTCAACACTTAATGTTATTGTTTGAGGAAAAAGAACTGTTAGTAGAAAATGTTAAGGTAAGCACGATTACATAGCATCAGTAAAATTATCATTAACTTGTCCTGTAATATCACTCAAATCGATGCATACTCGAAAGATATGCTGTATTTCAATTGTCACATATAAAATCTGTGCTCAATTTGAAAAAAAAAGTACTTTCGTCTGATTAAAAAAGAAAAAGGATGTTCATCAATCAAAAACTAAATATATTTTTTTTAAGATCAAACTTTGCTAGTGATAAAACTTTATTCCCATATTTTCTTAATGAACTTGAATAAATTATCACATTAAAAGGTTTATGTTGTGTTGAACCTCAATAAGCAATAAGCACAGCTCAGCAAAGTTATAAAACGCTCCCTCACTAAAACTGATGTAATTTCTCAATAACTAAATTATATAGTGATACATCATTCTCTTGTCCGTTTCATTTCTAGACCACTGAACACAGAGACATATATTCTACTCAAGTAAATACATTGAAACAATTCTATTGCACAATTATAAAACACTTCTGTTATTGTTGTTTTTACTAATTTTCTATCATTTTCTAGTTAAAAAACGTTTTTCAACGATGCCGTTTGAAAGAGTAGAGAAAACTACATCTATTTACAGTGTTGTATTTAACATATGACGTTCCTTAAACTTGTTTAGAACAATTTATCAAAATCGTTCACCCAAGACATCCGTTTGAATGACGTTCTCCGGCCACTAAACGTTTACCTAAAATGAATGAATCAAAGAAAACATTTATCCACACGTATCTCTTTGAATTTTCTATTCGAATATGTTATTTTAAAACACTTTTTTGACTAGAAAATAATAGAAAATTAGTAAAAACAACAACAAAAGTGTCTTATAATTATGCAACAGAATTGTTTCAATGTATTTACTTAAATAGAACACATGTTTTTTGTGTTCAGTGATCTAGAAATGAAACAAACAGACAAGAGAAAAAAAGATGTATCTCAGACATATGACTATTTATATAATTTAATCACTCACTTTTAGCGCAATTCCAAGAATGAAGTCCTGTAATTTTACATACTTCTGTTATTAAAATGAAATCAATAGACGTCATGTTTACTAGTATCAGAATCAAAGTTGTTTAAAATGAATATTACTGAACTATAAAAACTAAAATCTACAATGACTTTGAACATCATACAATAAACTCTCTTAATTCAAAGGGTATTGTCTTTTCTAAATTATATTTAAAAAAAAAAAAAGAACTGACCTTTCAGTACTCAATAAATATACGTGTAGTCACTCACTTTAAAATTTTCAAATGAATAAGAAAAAAGGTGTTATAAAGTACTTGACAAAATATAGTGGATGATTATGGCAGCAGCAATACTCATCACACATCTACATCAAATTATTCGAGACGCCTTCAATATTCTCTTTCTATCTCTTCTCCTCTTTTTATGATAGAGACAGAAGATCAAATATCAGTCGAAATAAGGTGTGTGGGTGTGTATGTATAACACGAAATGATTTATGGATGGAAATATTGTGGTGCATGAATATATATATATATATGTGTGACTAAGCGCACTGTGAGAGAATGAAAAAGAGAAGGACGAATGAAAAACAAAAAAAAAAAAAAAAACAACAAAAAAAAAGGGACTTTATGTTCTATATAAAGAATGAAAGATCGGTCTCACACATATACATTGGCATTTTTTTTTTTCTATTTTTATATAGCTATAAATATAATCGTCATTCAATGAATCGAAAGACCCAACAACGTAAAGTTCAATACGATATGCGTGCAACAGCAGCTTGTCAAAAATGATATTCAGTACACAAATATTCTTTCGTTTTATTCATAAAATAATAATGGTCAGTGAGATGCAGCAGATGTACACTAAACTTTTTCCTTCATACTACTAAAAGAATTTTTGACATTAATTGTCTTATCAAATTATAATTTTAATCTCTAAATAATAAACATTTTTATTTCAATAAATCAAATTCTATTTAAAAAGAGAAAAATTCAAGACAGTTTTATCGTTTGAGATCAGAGAAATAAATGAGATATTTAAATATTATTACCTTAGTCATTTATACACACATACACACACTCAGCAGGACACTCTCATTGGTCCTACCATCGTTATATCATTCATTCATTCATTTCTTTTTATGTATCATCTTTCTATTTACAATTCTTTGTATTGCAACACAGTACGTAAAAATAAATAGTTTTTTGAATGAAAAATCTACGATTTATAACGATCACGAATCATTTAGAATTTGTTGATTAATAATGGATAAAATGTGAACTATAATTAGTTAAAAATAACAACAACAACAACTGTAATTGAACACTATTATGAAAACTTTTATATTAAACAAAATAAGTTTCAGTTTATCACAATAAATGACTTCTATTCTGCAAGTTAAAGAAAGTTGTTACACAATTTTATAAAGAGAACATAATATCAACGACTATTTTTTACTAGAAAACCTACATTATATATAGTTGAGCGTTAAATGAACTAGTTGAAAAACTCTCTCTAAATATAGTGTTTAAATCATATGCTTGAATGTGACATATCGTCTCACCACATGAAAGAAAGAAGAAGAAGAAAAAAAAAATGACCTTTTTTCTTCCCTTCTTTGTTTTTTTATTTATTTTTTTTTTTTTTATATTCTTTGTTAAGAGAGGTTAAACATGAAGAAAAAAAGGAAACAAGAACTGTCAAAGAGAATAAAAAAAAAAAACGTGACTGCATATATATATTTTTAATCTTGAATTAGTTTTTGATCTTTTTTTTCTCTCCTTCTCTCTTCTGGTAACTAAAAATATTCATTAAAATCTACATATAGAAGAAAGAATCTCAATAGACATAAAAAACGTGTGTATGTTCGCTGTTCTAAACGAAATAGCGAGTGAGTTTGGTGACAACTGTTTAGTGTCAATGAACTATGCAAATGGCGACACATTAGCGAAATGAAGAAAAAAAAAAAACAGAAAAAAACGACGACGGAAGCAAAAAAAGAAATCATGATTTGCATATCATCTATAGATCAATAAGTTTTGATACACAACATAAAAGATCTATCAAGTATTTTATCAAGGTCGTCACATTGTTTCAATTCATATACAATTCTATTCAGTTTTTGACCGCAAAATTTCAACATAAACAACGAAAACAAAAAGTTATTGGACACTTCTTCTTCGCTTCGAAATCTTCAATTTTTGCTCAAGTGAAACAACTTTTCAACACAAAAAAAAACCAAAGGTACTCTATCATATAAAAGATGTCAATGTAATATCCACTCGATTATATATAAAAAAAGTTTAGCTATAAACATAATTAGAAACGCCACCTCAATAATTTGTCATGCAAATCACCCGTTTTTACACACACACACACACACAAAAAAAAGAAACTTATTAATCAAATCCTTTTACAAGCCAAGCAAAACAAAAACAAGGTATTTGCTTTGAGATACAATTATTTTTTCAGCAATTAGTCGGGAAAAAAGAATCAAAAATTAATATATATATATATATATATACATTCTTTTATGCAGTATTTAGTACCTTGAAAAAAAATTTTCCACTAAAAGTTGATCGAGAACAGAGAATTGATTTTGATGTGCTAATAAAAACATGTTTTTCTTAAAAAAAAAAAAAAAAAAATCGATAATCAATCATAACGTACCCCGCAGCATAAAGATCCGTTCACAAACATACATATGAGAAAATAATCGTTGAAGTATAATCGTGTCAGCCTGTTTAATATGTATGTTCTTGTTCTAGTCTCTACTTAAGTTATTAACCTAAAGAAAATGAGTTAATTTTTCTTTCGTTCATATGTACAACTATAAGAAAAGAAACAGAATTCTCTCTCTGTCTTTCTATTTCTCTCTCTCTCTCTTTCTCTATTGTACATATATATATAGAGAGAGGAAGAGAGAGAGATTCTGAACAGTAGCAAAACCTGTTACTATTCTTCGTCTTATTAAGGGTATATTATTCCATTCGCATGGATAATCGCAACCTCTATATAAATGAAGAGAAAAAAAAAGGCAGAAATATTCTATATAGCAGACTTTTTTGTTTTCATCACTTACTTGATGTATAAATTGCGCAGTAAAACGGAAAATCTCTCATCAATTGTTTTTATTACAAATTTTTCTAGCTAATATAACATAGAAATGAAGCAAACCAATAATAAATTGTTCATATAAAACATGTTATTTTTTTTTGAAATCATCAAAAGATCCGTTCGATTAACTAAATAAACGAAAACGACTAGTAGTCGAAAAACAAAAACAAAAACTTTTCTAAACATATTTTTTTGCTTTTCAAACTGTTTGTATCAAAAAAAAAAAGTCTGTTAGAAAACTAGATAGATAATTTACTCTCTAGTATAACGTATAATTTTCAAATATTTTATTACTTTGACTACTGGTCATTATTTAAAAGATTTAAAAGTTTAGAGAGATGAAAA